ATGCAAAGACTGCATCGGAAGTTGCAAACGAACTCTGAGCGGCAGGCGCCGAAATCCTCCCCCAGCGCCAGCGCGACACCGTGGGCAAGGCCCGGTTCTGTGAGCTGAGAAACAAACGAAAGGGAACGGAACTGGCTGCAAAGCATGCCCCTGGCCTCGCTCCATGGCACAAAGCCCGCGGAAGGCAGCCTCTTCAAACCTAGGCGTTCCGAAATCCATGAAGCCCTACAGCCATGAATGGTTCAGGGCAAAGGTTTCGCGAAATGGACGTGACGGTAGAGGCAAGCACACGAAGCAGTACATACGTCGATCGCGACCCATAGACCCATATCTTGCAGCGTATCCGTTCCCAAGGCCTGAACGGTCTCTCTGAACCAACACGGAGCTCTCGTCTGTGGCAACTCCTCCGACTGGAGCTTGTCTGCTGGCAGATGGTGTGCTCTTCATACTGAGATAGGGTGTTTTGCTGCAACTGGGAGCTTTCCTTGTTGGAGCTAGTTTCCTTGATGTGGTTCGCTCAACAAGGCATCGCAACCCCGGCAGCTTGAGAATAGCTGAGGGCCGAACGCTGCAGGCTCGGGATCTTCGTCCACGCCCTGGTCTCGAAGGCATTTAGGGGCTTGGTTTTGTCGTTTGACAGCTGAAGGTGGAGGACTTAAGCTTAGGATCGAGCTACTGTAAATGCTGTTTTCGCCATTGGGGATGCAGGATTTGGTGGGTTCAGCTTCGGCCCAAGAAAAGAATACCAACTCTGGCTGGAATGCACGTGGCCTCTGACTTTCTGGATGTTTTCTGAGGAACACGTATGTTCCCTATTTATTTGCTGTAGGTCTAGGTGTAGGCGTGGGCGTAGGCGCTGCTGTTGTTGTTGTTGTTGCTGCTGTTGCTGTTGTTGGTGTTGCTGCTGCTGCTGCTGCCGCCGCCGCCACCGCCGCTGCTGCTGCTGCTCCTGCTGCTGCTGATGTTGGTGCTGCTGATGTTGCTGCTGTTGTTGTTGTTGTGGATGTGGAAGTTGTTGTTGATGTTGTTATCGTGGTCGTCGTTGTCGCTATCGCTGTCGCTGTCGCTGTCGCCGTTGCAGTGGTGTTTGTTGCTGGTGGTGGTTGTTGTTGGTGGTGGTGGTGATGGTAAAAACGGGCGGGGAGGTTGGGGGGACGCAGCCGCCTTCCAATTTGCAAAACTAAAAATGCTCTAGAAAGGCTGCTTGAAGGAATGTCCACTGAGGGCGCGCCATTCTTTGGCTTGAAATCGCCAAAAAAAAAGCTTCCGCATTTGCAAACAGAATGCTCAGCAAAGAGGATTACCAGTACAGGGTAGGTTGCCCCACAAAGCCCTCGCAGCATCCGTCTCCGATTCCTCCTCCCCCATCCTCCAGCTCCAAGATGCATCTTGAGATGTAGCCCACGATAAACGGCAAGGAGCAAGCCTGTTCACAACGAGACGCTGAGGTACAGAAGGAGACGGCTCCGTCTGAATCTGAAAGATCAGGGCTCTCAAGAGCTGGCTACGTGCTGAAGAGCAGGCAGATAAGATGCGGTGTGCCACGAACACCACATGTCTTGGGCACTCAGCAGGGCCGCGAGGAACAAAACACGCGAGGACCCAAGTCCTACGAAAGTGTCCCCTCGGTCGGGCCGCGGTGGCAAAGCAAAACCTCAGGAACTTGCTGAAGGCGACCCAACGCCGCCGTAATGGCTGCTGATGGAGTACAGCCAACCAGCCGCGCAAGCAGTCCACGATCCAGGTCGCTACGAGTTGGTGACGAGCGAGACCTCGGGAGGCCCTCCTCGGGGCGGATCTTCTGGTTTTGAGAGACGCTTGGCCTGGCGTCGTAGAAAGGCTGCTTGAACCAATGTCCATTGATGACGTAGCAGTCCTTGGCGCAAAATTAAAACAAGAGCAGGGGGGTTAGGGGGGGCGCAGCCCCCATTTGCAAAATTGTATCTGCCCGACAGTATTGTAGGCACAAAGTAACTGCGCACGAGATATCTATAGCATACGCATATACGTGTATATAGAGGTATATGCATATATATATATATACATATATACATATATATGGTCGCCTCCCCCGTTGACAGACCATGCCCTTCCAACTCACACGTAGCGCATGGTCTGTCATCGGGGGGGGGAAAGGGCACTCAGCCCTCAAAAACTCAATTCCAAAATTTCCAAAATTCTCCCCCCTAATTTTCCGGATTTCCAAAATTTCCAAAATTTCCAACATTTCCAACATTTCCAAAATGTCCAAAATTTCCGAAATTTCCAAAATTTCCGAAATTTCCAAAATTTCCGAAATGGCTGAATTTCCAAAAATTTCCAAAAATGTCCTTTTTTGAAATTTTTGAATATTTGGAAATTTTGGGAATTCTTGGAATTGATTCTCAGGAGGGCTGATTGTGATCCATCCGATGACAGACCATGCACTACGACTCACTTGCAAAGGCAAGGGCTGTCAATACTCATGCCCATATTTAGACGAAGAAATATCTATCTATCTATATGCATATGTATTGATACTCCTACATATAGTAATGCCATTGCTAATACTGACGTTGATCATTTGTTAAATGCTCAAGCTAATACCAGCATTACTTATGTTACACTTCTATAAAGCCTAGTACGAATATGCAAAACACAAGTACTAATGTTTATTAATTTTGCTATTAATACTCCTACGCATATCAATAATCATATTCATTTTGGCAATTGTGTATGTTGGTACCAATACTAACACACACCTGTATGTACTAATGCAAATAAATATGCATACCATTACATTAAAATACAAATGCTTTAGCTCATTCACGTATCCAACTGTTAGTATTTTCGTGTGATCAAGAGTAATACTAATACAAACATTCCTGCAAATGTAAATCATCAATAACACTATAGTACTAATGCTAACACTACTACTAATACTTATCACAATATTTATACTAACATCAATATTTACATAAGTATTGATACTGCTACGAATACGAATACGTAAACCCTTATGCGTTAACAGTAGTGCTATCACCAACACTGATACGGACATTGATGATCTGTTGAATATTCAAGAATGCCAGTAGTCTTACCAGCATGAACACTCATATTCTGGCTAATACGACCACAAACAGTCCTAATTCTAATAATATTGACATTAATACTCCTACGAATACCAATATTATATTCATATTGATATGAATACTAATATCATTACTAATGGACACCTGCATATACCAATGTACACAAACAACACGGGAATACATATCATTATCTTGAGGTACAGATAAATACATTAGTGCATTCATGTATTAATGCTTTGGCATAAGCATATACCCATATACCAATGTAACAATATACTTCTCGTTGTTGTATGAATATACCATACTAATATGCGAACATACAAATATACGACTACTGCCATATGCAAGTATACCGACATGATACAGATATACTTATAAATGATTAGACAATACAGGAATATAGTACACATACTAGTATACGAATATGCTAACGTACGAATATATTGGTATGTTAATATACTAGTAAACTCGTACACCAATATACTAGTGTATTCATGCACCAATTGTACTAACATGTCAAATATACTAGCATACAAGTATACAAAGATTTTACTGGTCAAATACATTGATGTATTGATGTACTAACCTGCTAATATACGAGACCATCAATATACTAACATATCAAAACTAACTAATTCTAATATTGATACTAATACTAGAACTTCTGCGAATATAAGCTGCTATTGAACCCAGCATTAAGACTGATACTGATACTACTAGTAGCAGTGGTGCTGTATTACTGACATTGACACTGGCACTAGCGCTAACTCTAACACGAACATGAGCACTAACACCAATATGAAGTTACTAATTTGATATGTATACTTACAGCAAACAATAGTACTAATATTAACAATAATACTCATCCTAATACCGATATTACCACAAAACTATTACGTAACTCATGTGCCGCACGTCTGGTGCATGCGTCCTCAGTACATGGCATATCAAATATACGTTGTATATCTACTGTGAAGGTCTTGCGTTACAGATCATCGTCGGGTGTGGTTAAGAGCAGCCCCCCACCATTTGCAAACAGAGTGCTCGCAGAAAGGCTGCTTGAAGGAATGTCCATTGATGGCACTGCTTAAATAGCAGCAGGGCGGGTGCTTTGCATAAAGCTATTGGGGATTTGCAGGTTGCATGCTCTTGATTTGCATCAAGCTATCGGGGAATCTCAATTTGCAGGGTCCGGTTTTGTGCCAAGCTACTGGTGAATCGCAATTTGCAGGGTCTTGCTTTGCATCAAAGTATTGGGGAATTTGAATGTGTAGGGTCCTGATTCACATCAAGCTGTTGAGGATTACAGTTCCTGTTTTGCGACAAGCTATTGGGGAATTGCAATTTGCGCGGTTTTGTTGTGCATCAGGCTAGTGGGTAATTCTGACTCGCGGGTTCCGATCCGGACCAAGCTGTTTGAGGATTACACGTTGTGTGTGTATTTACATCAAGTGTATGTTTTATAATGCAGTATCTCATCAACGGAGGCTGCGGGCAGGTCGTTGAGCAGTTCGTGGTCGTGGCAGTGGCATTAAGTGTTAGTACCACTATGTATAATTGCTATGCTTAGTGTTTCTAGTTTTGTATTACTACTAGTTACTAGTATTGCTGTACTTACTAGTATATTAGTATGACTATTGCTTTTCTGATTCTTAGTATCGCCTTCCTTCCTCTTTACGTTCTTCCTTCCTTCCTTCCTTCCCTTCTTCCTTCCTTCCGTTCCCCGCGTTCCTTCCTTCTTCCTTCCTTCCTTCCTTACTTCCTTCCGTCCTTACTTCCCCCCCCCCGGGGACAAAAAAAAAATGTACCAAAAAATAACAAACAAATAGGGTCCCCTCCTACCGGCATCAGAGTAACATCCGAGCTCTCTGTTCCTGGGCATGCTTGGCCAAGGAATCGCCAATCGTCTGCTCGACGTACTGCAGTCGCTCAGACCTGACGAATGAATTTGAGAAGTAAGCCTAACTTCAAAACCACGTGACAAACCACGTCAGAAGGCAGAAAGAGATCTTCGAAGCACTCCCCCCACAAGGTGCCTTTCCATGCTTGTCCGCATGGTCTCCGACCTTGGCAGCCGTGGCCGCCAGCTCCTGGGTAGAGTGAGAGCTCAAGGAGAAACTTCAAAGAAAGGAGCCGAGCCAGTGGCAGAGAGTTGCATTGCAGCACCAGAAGGAAGAGCAACAGGAAGAAGCAAACCAGTACCATAATGCTCATCGCTGTTGACTACTTCGAAGATCCGGGAAGGTAGGTGGAGAAGGTTGTCGGGCAGTTGGGATGGCAAGACATACTCTGACCGATATAGTTTGCTTGAAGAAGGGTCCTCCCTGCATGCCCGAAACAAGCAAGCGTATTTAGAGTGCCGGTCGGCGTTGCCTGGTGCTTTTATGCAAGGCTTCTCGGACGGCTTGGCTCTGACACGGTCATGTCTGCTTGGGGCTGTCTCCTGAAGCAAAAGGCGCAGAGAAACTCTCTCCTTGTCGTGCTTGCCCAAGGAGTCGCCCATGAATTGCTCCAGGTACTCCATGCGATCTGTGAAGGGCATGTGGCCCTGGCACGGGACATTTCATCATTGAGGGGCTGGGACGCAGTCGTGTGAGGCTTCCCACCCCTCCGTGGGATTGGGGGGGGGGGAATGCCAGAGTTGATGCTACTACGAATGCTACAATATTATAAGCACCAACAGTACACTTCAAATCTTCACAAACTGCTACTGACCTTCGCGATGAAAACCCTACTCCTCCAGCTGGGTCGGTGGGCCTTCGCTTGCCGATCCGCCGAGCCACCCATGAGCCTTTCGAGGTAGTCCACGCGATCCTGTCCGAACAACACAGGAAGCTGCGTACGATGCGTGGGTCTTCACAGACCTTCCTGATAAGCAATCACAAACTGGGTTGCTGTTAAGGAACTCAATGTAAATTACCATAATAAGGAAGCCGTATTATTTGCTATCCCCACAATGGTAACTTAAATTAAGTTCCGCAACAGCAAGCCAGCAAAGCACTTGCACGAGAAGAGAGTCCCGGGCAAGGCCTGCACAGTCGAGTGCTGCACACCTCGGCAAAGCTCGGGCTCGGCGCTTTTGGTGTCTTTTCTTCGGCTCTCGGGCAGCGACCATGCCGCGACAGCTTCGCATGCAGGTCCTCAGAAGTTTTCATGCACGCGTTGAAAGTGGATAGCCAAGGCGAGGCAACAAGATCATGTTTGAAGTACTCACAAGTACAATGACGGCAATGGACATAACAATGACAATCCAGAGTACGGTGATAGCAAAAGTGACAGCGACAGAACACTCTGGCCTGAATAGTGTGGTCGCATGTAGCCTCCCGAAATGCGATCGGTCGCGAAGTGCCGCCAGGACCGCCGAACGCTGCGGACCCTGCCTTCTCGTCGTCGAGATGCTGGCGAAGAGCATGCTGATGCACCTACGAAGCAGGATCTACCCTATGGGGAAATGCGGCATGACTTGAACTCTGTAGCCCAAGCAACTAGCTGCGCAGCAAAGAGTCCAACAAATTGAGTTGGTCGTACTGCACACATCATGTATCGGCAGCACTGTTGAACTCACGGCACCGCAGAAACTAACACCGCATACCATCTCTCAAGTATGACCACCCCCACACTGAGCCCCTCGCGAAAGGCCAGAAACTCGAACCAACCCAAGAACAGAAAATCTACACCTCCTGGCCACTCCCCAAATCGAGCCTCGAGCTCCTGTGCGGCAGCACACTCTTGACTTTCGGTGGTTCAGGACCGTGGTTTGTAGTCGAGAATTCGTTTAGGATATGAATTTGAGACGGCCCAGGATATCATTTAGCACAGAGCGCAACTCGAAATGTGCTCGCCACGAAGGTGCGGGTGAGCACGGTAAGACGACGTCTTGAGTTCACCAGAAGGCGATGCTTGCTAAGATCACTCTTGAAACGCCGT